CAGGGGTGGAGGGGCTGCGGGGTTGGAGGGGCCGGAGGGGTGGAGGGGCAGCAGGGGTGGAGGGGCAGGCGCCAGCAGGCGCCCAACCACAGACCAACTGGCGGGCTGTGCATCGACATTCTTCAGCGGCACGCAGCGGCGCGCCTCTGGGACAAATGTTGGCATAAGGCTATGCATCGGGGTAGCGGGCTAGGAATTTGCAAGGAGCTGACGCACTCCGCGCCCACATTTCTGGGCCCTCGGCCTGTCCCCACAGGCGGCGCTTCGACAAGCGCATCTATATCCCGCTGCCCGAGGCCCATGCGCGCGCGCACATGTTCAAGGTGCGCCCAGCGCCCAGCCTCGCGGGCGGCCACGGCGGCGTGCACCTCTAAACGTCGACCACGCGCACGCCGTCGGGACGCATCTGCAGCCACCCCACCCCCGGCCTCCCCGCGGGCTCTGCAGCCTGCCCCGCGCCCTTACCACCTGCGACCCGCCCAGGCTGGGATTGCCGACAATGTTACATTGCCGCCGCCGCGCCCGCCCCGCCGCCGCAGGTGCACCTGGGGGACACCCCCAACTCGCTGACTGAGAGGGACTTCCAGGAGCTGGGGGCGCAGACCGAGGGCTTCAGCGGCAGCGACGTGGCGGTGGTTGTGAAGGACGTGCTGATGCAGCCCATCCGGCTGCTGCGGGAGGCGACGCACTTCAGAAAGGTGGGGGGAGCGGACGCGCCCGGCTCGGAAGCCCGGGGCTCGGGTGCGTCGCCCAGGGGCCGCCGGGCAGAGAGAAGGCCGGCGGCGCGGCTCGACCGGTGACCCCTCGCGGCGCCCCTTCATCCACGCAATGCGACAGCCTAGCGGCCGCGCGGCGTCGCTGAGCCCCTTCCTATTGAAACCTCCCTGTGACATGCACAAATCCCCAAAAAGGCCGCCCCGCTCCCTCCCTCCCTCCCCCTCCTTCCGGGCCGCAGGTGCGCCACCCGGACGGCGGCGACGCCTATGAGCCGTGCGCGCCCGGTGCCCCGGGGTCTCAGGAGTGCAGCCTGCAGTACTTTGCTGACAAGGGCCTGGCAGACAGGGTCCTGCCCCCCACCATCACGCGGCTCGACTTTGATAAGGCGAGGGGGGAGGAGTTGGGGTTGGGCGAAGCGGGCCTCTGGGGAGCTTCAGGGGCGTGCGTGGGGGGCCGGAGGTGTTCATGCGGGATGCCGCGGGGGCTGGCGCGGGTTCCAGCAGAGGGCCCCTGGTTGCGGCCTCCTATCGGCGGCCTGCAGGCTAACAGACCAGCAGCTCGGTGTCGCTGCGCCAAAGGTGGCCAGGGCCGACGTCGCTAGAGGGTGCCAAGAGCCCTGAAGCGTGAGCCCTGAAACCCTGCGCCGTCTCCTCGTTGCGCCCCGTGCCGAACCGACAGGTGCTGCTGCGCGCGCGGCCGACCGTCAGCCCCAACGATCTCGCGGTCTTTGAGAAGTTTACTGATGGTGAGGTCGCGAATCCACTGCCGCCCACGCTTGTAATGGCCCCTGTGGGCCACCACCGGCGGCTGCTTGCCTTTTTCCAGCCTGCGTGCTGGCGCGACAGCGTTGTGCAAGGAGGCCTGAATGAGGGTTTTACGGGGCTTCTTCCCGCGGTTCAGGGTTTATGAAGCCCGCGATCCCCGCTGCTGCCTGGCACGGATCTGGCAGACCCCTGCACCACTGCCCGCAACCCCTGTGCCGCAGAGTTTGGAGAGGAGGCGAACTGACGCGCGCGTGTGCAGCTCGTGCACTGCATTCCCGCGGCCGCCCCCTGCGCGCGGCAGCGGCGTCGCGCCGCAAGCGGCGGGCGCGGCAGCCAGACGCCCGCCTGCTCGGCTTCGTCCTAGGTGCTTGTCGGCTAGTCGCAGCGGCGTGCGAACGTGCGCCCATAGCAGCCGCCACGCACGGCTATGTAACACCCCTTCGTGTCGTTTTCTCCCGTTCGGGCCGCGTTAGGAGGTAGAAAAGAGAGTCTGCCCTGTTGTGGTGGGAGATTCCCAGGCAGGCACGTATGCAGATGGCCTGGCATTCACGTGTCCGTCATCCCTGGCATTGACAGGATCAATGTGGCCAATGTGGCCCGGGGCACCAAATCACCACCAGTAGGCAGCAAGTGGTGGCTGCCGCTGCGGCGCCTGAACAGTCAGCAGCGTGCGGCGGCGGCGGCGGCGGCGTCCTCGGGCGCGACGGCCGCGGGCGGCGCGGCGTGCAACGAAGACGCGACCGGCCAGGCGTGGGAGCAGGTGGACCAGACGTGGCGTAATTTCTGGGAGCGAATCGTGCGCGAGGGGGCGGCGCGGCCGTCGGGGTTGGTGGCTAAGAGAGGGCCCCTGCAGATTGAGTACAGCTGGGAAAGCTGCGGTGGATGAAGGGGCAGGCCGGGCGATCATTGCTGAGGCTGGACATGTAAGCTGCTATTGATGGCGGTATGGCTCGCTATCTCAAAGGAATTGGGCGGCACGCGACCGTGCTGCGCGCTGCGGACTGCTGCGACGCGCCGCTTGCAGTCCGGCTCTGCTCAACCAAATTGCATTTGCATTCAGGCTGTCGCAGCCAAAGCTCTGGCATTCATCTCAAGTATCAGGGGAGGATGACGCCCTCAGGGGGCCCGTGGGCGTGGGAACGACACGCGCGGGAGCTGCCCGTGAGCAGCTGGCAGGGGCTGCACGTCGGCTGGGGCGTGGAAGCTGGAAAATCAGGTGGACGCCCATCCCCAGAGTACTTTACGTACCACGCGATCATTATAATTTCATCAAACGTACTTCAAACAAGTTTTTCGAACGCCCTTGCCAACGCGTCCAAAGCAGTCCAGCTCGACAAGCTGACAGCTCCCCGAACCGAGAAACCCCTGCCCCCCTTCCGAGCCTACAAAGCTGACACAGACACTCGCTCAGCGCTATTCCACGACACAGGTGAGGGCCCCGGGAAGCCTTCGCAAGGCTAAACCGCTCGTGGTGCCCGGCCTCTTTGTCAGCCTCGTACTGCGTGCGTGCTGTCGCCGAGCAATAGCACACAAACCATTACGCCGCTTTGCACGCTGCCGAGCCTGCTGACGCTGTCGCACACGTCCCACCTCCGCTACTCTGCAGCCGCGTCGCGCACACACGCTGCTTACGCTCCATCCCGTCAGCAGCAACCATGACGCCTATTACGTCCCTTCTGGTGAGTGCCACGGGCGTACAGGAAGCGCATGCGGCTTTCTGTGCTTGCACATGTAGTTGATAGCGCTGCCGGCGCTGCCCGTCCACCCAAAGCTGCGGCGTAGCAACAGCCTGTCTACGCATTGCCCTCACCCAACCGCAGGCAATTCTAAACCTGGCAACCCTCGCTGATGCCCTCAAGCGCATCACCACTCTCAAGGCCGCCACCAAGATCACCGCCGACGCCCCGTCTGCGGCCTCCGCGCCCCTGGCGCCCCTGGCCTGCGCCCCCGAGCCCAACTCAACTGGGGCCTCCACCGACCCCGTCCCTCATGCCGCCGCCGCTGACGCACCCACGGCCTGTAAGGCCAGCTGGTTTGTGCGCGCGGTCTCTGGCCTCAAGGACAAGTGGCGCGCCCTGACAGCCGCCGCCGCCGCCACCAAGACCCCTGCTGCTGCCGAAAAGCATGTGCCCACGTCGCGCACGGCCAGCGCCACCTCCACCACCTCCACCTCCAGCAAGAGCAACACCACCCAGGCCGCTGCCGCCGCCCCCCCTGGTGACGACGCACGCGCCCCCGAGGCCCCGAAGAAGGCCAACTGGTTTGCGAGCGCAATTGCCACCGCCGGGGCCAAGTGCGGCGCCGCGTGCGACTCTGTCACGGCATCGTGGCGTGCGACCGCCGCCAAGGCCTCGGCCGCGCTCACCCCCAAGCGCAAGGCCCCGCACAAGAAGAGCCGCGGCCGCAAGGCTGACATCAAGACCTCCTCTCTGCTCTCTGTCGCCGCGGCTGGCCCCATCGACAACGACAGCCCCGCCCCTGCCGCCTCTGCCGCCGCTGACGACGCCGCCGTGCTTGTGAGCGTCGGCGTCTCCGCCGCCCCCGAGCCCCCAGTCGCAGCGCTGAAGCCCGGCTTGAAGATCAGCACGGCCGCCTCTTCCAGGTGGGGCAAGATCCTTGGCGACAGGTTCAGGGCCGCCCTGCCGCACGCCCGCAGCTGCAGGCGCCCCGTCACCCCTGCGGCCCCCATCAAGGCGTGCCTCGGCGGCACCTGGCCAAGCCCTGCGACGCCGAGCCCGCCACCAGCGCCGCCATACTTGTCTCCAAAGGGCGCATCAGCGCGCCGATTACCGCCAAGCTTGCACGCCTCTCGTCGCGCCGCAGACGCAGCCGCCCAGACCAGGCGGCGGCGGCAGCAGAGGCGGCGGGTGGCGAGGCGGCAGTGGCCTGCTAACTGCATGTGTGCAGGCTATGTCCCTGCGGCCCTTGTTAGGGCGACCCCCACACCACCAGGAAAATATAATACTTTACATCGCCTCAACTGTGTCGGCGCATTGTTTACATTCCCTTGACGCCCTCTTGCCAGCCCTTGCCAGCCCTTGCCTTGAGTTTGCCGCGCCCTGCATGACCCTGCGAGTTGCGTCCGCCCCATCTTTCTGTCTGCGCATATCTTTTTGTCTGCGCGCCTCCTGGTTGCCCGCCCCTTTTTACTCTTTGCTGAAACAGCACGTTGTTGCCAGCCGCAACGAGATCTGTGGCCGACCGCCCTTGCGGCCCCTGCCCCGGGGCGCAGCCTGCGCCTGCCCGGTGTCCGTTATTCCATGAACCCCAGGGGACATCAAAATAATCACACGACTCTTCATGAACCATCACGTAAGCTCAACCACCGGCGTGTTGCTGCACCCTGATGTGCGCTGCGCCATTCCTCATGCACCCCGATTGCCATGATGCCCTCTGCTACCTCCCCTTGCACCGCCCGGTGACCGCGCATGGCACCAAAACGCGGCAAAGGAATGCCATGCATTTGAACAAACGCTTCTTGCCCTTGGCCACGCGTTATTCCTTGAACGTATCTGTGTGCCCTGCCCCTCTGCAGCCCTGGCTGCATATCAGGGGGGCATTGTGTGGGTTTAGGGTCCATGATACCTGTTGTCAATCATTCCGGCCGGCTGACCGGCTTTATTTACTTGCCAATGTAGGACAGAGTAAGAAACAACATCCACTTGATTGGAAGTCCTTTACAACAGCAGAGCGTAAGCACAATGCAAAGTCATTGCCATCAGAAGGTCAAACCAACTACCCAGCAAGCGGCAAGGGTCACAAGCTGGTCTGCAGGATGAGGGGCGCTGCGTTTGCAGTACAACTTCTAATAGTGAATATTGGCTCAACATCCATCAGATAGCTCCTGCCCATTTCTGCGCACACGGATGTGCCAGTGGTGCTGCCGCATCCGCAGCCTGCTGGGGACGATGCTGCTTGACACCACAATTGTGGCCAGACCCGCCAGATCATCGGCAAGCTGGGTTGAGCCCACCGACCAGCAGCACAGAGTGTGCAGCTGTGAAGGAAAGTACGAGTTGCGTACCGCACAGCTTTCAGCAGTCGCGCGCAGCACCCTGGGCCACACACCCGTCGACTGGCTCGCGCACAGCCCTGCACCAAGCATGAGCAGCAGGGCGCAAGGCTCGAGGGTGTCTGCGCACAAACGGCAAGCCCTCGGCTGAAACAGCCCAGTAGTAGCCAGCGCGCACCTCCACTCTGCGTCCCAGCTGCTGTGGCGCTGTATTTGCCAGCGTGGAGCTGATCGTGCAGGCCCAGCGGAGGACAGCGCTACCGGCCACACGGCCCCGCCGAGAAAGCACCATCATCGGCCGTCGCCTCCGCTAAGAGACACGAATGCCCTGCATAACTTCGAGCCTGTAAAGGCTGTCGCTTTTGCCGCGCACTATTGCAGTCTTGGTTGCCGTCCGAGGGTGAGGGCGGGCGCCAAGCGCATGCAGGGCTGCACACTCACTGCCGATGCAGGCTGTTGGCAGCCATCGCCCCCACATGCCCATTGGGAACAGTGTTTACTCGTAACTTCTGAGGGGCAGCCGGACGCGCCAGACGCAAATCCCACCCACCGCCCCGCCGTCTTCGAGGCTGCAAAACGCGTGGAAGGGGCAGCACCAGCGCTCGGGGCGTGGCGCTGCCGATGTGAATATGGGGTGTTGCTGCTTGGCCACGCACGCTCCCAGAGTACGGCGCGTGCTGTCAACCGCCAGGGTTGGTGAGGCCGAATGATACCGTGCACGGGCATGGGCGTCACTGCAGGGGCCCATGCGTGCATGCTGCGGGTCCATGATTGGCACGGTGGGGCAGAAGGCGCCTGCTGTTGTTGGGTGGAACAGTGTGGGACATGGGTGATATAAGTGACTCGCTGCAAATAACATCACCCGCCCAGCTCTGGCAGGGCAACTGGGTATGCGCAAAGCTGGCGACTGGGAGGGAACAGGACCTGGGAAGTTTGGGTGGCGTGCACGCAAGGTAATGTGTACGAGGGGCGCTGCATCGCGACATGAGGGGAATTGCATGCGGCGTGAGCTTGCTCCAAAAGCAACACATACAAAATGCGCTGGCGCAGCCGATGATGTGCCGGCGTCTGAAAGACCGGGTAGGCCTGCAAATTTGGGGGGTCTAGGCGCACGAGCAGGCCAGCAGAAGCCGCCCAGCCACACCGGCAAACGCACACCACTTGAAAACCGCAACGGACCCAAACCGTCCCCGCTCGATTCAAACCACACGCCTCGCCACAAACGCCGCCCGCTGGCGGCAGCACGAGGCACAATTTGGTTGGCTCCGCGATTCAAGCTTCTGCTAGGGCGCCCGGTGCGCTCGCAGCCGAGCGGCCCGGCGCCCCTGTCAGTAAGGAGGTCAAGCGAGCAATACTTGCCTTTCCCTAAGCATGCGGCGCGCCTGTTGAGGGGGCGCTGGCATGCATGCACACGCTCAGATGCGCGCACACGCCAAAGCCAGACTGAATCACATCATATATAAGTAAGCTCTCGGCCTCTCAGCCGAGCCCTCAGTACGCGCACCAAAAAAAAGCATCTGCTGCTCAAGACTCGTTTGCCTGATCAAGACTCGTTCGGCTGTCAGGCATTGTCAGGCATTCTGCGTGTGCCAACGAGCGGCTGCGCGCAAGCGGATGCTGGAGGCGATGCACAAACGCATTCTATGGGGCGGCGGCGCCAGCGCAGCCAGTGGGTGCGCAGCAGCCGTGCGCCCCCATAGGTGCTGGCGGCTGGGAAAGTCTGAGAAAGGCAGCAGAGACCAAATGGCGCCAGGGGCACTGCGTGCCGAGCGCGGACGCGCCCAACACGCGGATCGTGCTCGGTGCCCCCCAGGCCTGTGTGCCTGAGGTGGCATGCATACACGCGTCATCATCCTGGCTGCCTTGCACCGATCCACAGTGCAGAGGGAGCGGCCCCGGCAGATCGACTCTGGGCAGAGCACACATACTCAACGGCGCGGCGCAGGCAGCCGTGGCGAAGCCTGCGCCGCTGCCAAGCACACCCCTGTCGGGGCGGCGCCCCAGGGCGCCGCCCTAGGGGCGGCCCCAGATGCTGCCGTTCCAGCCGAACCCGAGGGGGAACGTGACGGGCTGCAGGCCCGCGGCCGCCTGCGGCGCCTGGTCATCCAAAAGGCCCGCCAGGGCCCAGGCGCCGCCGTCCTCGTAGCCAGACGGCAGAAGGTCGCCGGAATCGGGAGCAGCGGGGGGCGCGACGGCCGCATCGCTCAGCAGGGCGGCCAGCCCCCGCTGCGCCGCCGCCGCCGCGGCCAGCGGCGACGCCGCGGCCGCGATCTGTGCACCAAAGGACGGCGCGCCCATCTGCGTCTGCGGCCATGCCGGCGCGGCCGGCGCGGCGGCGTCGGCGGGCTCCGCGCCGAGGTGGCGCGCGGGCTGCGCAAAGGGGGACTGCGCCGGCCGCGCCGGGGGCTGCGCCTGGCCGCGCTGAGTCATCAGGAGGCGGACCAGCTCGGCAGTGGCGGCGTCCTGCTGGCGGCGCTGCTCCTCCTGCTGCAGCCCCAGTGCCAGCTGCTGCTGCTGCTGCCGCTGCTGCTCAAGCAGCCGCGCGACGAGCGCGGCTTGCTGCGCGGCCGCGCGCGCCTGCGCCGCGGCGGCCTGCGCGGCCGCGACCGCCTCGGGCGGCGTGTCCACGGGGGGCCCGAAGCTGGCCCACTCGGCGTGGCCCAGCTCCCCATCCACGGCCCGCAGCAGCGCCGCCGCGCGCCCCGCCGGCTCAGCGGGCAGCGCGTCCCACTCGTGCGGCGCCAGCTGCACCACCCGCCAGCCGCGCGCGCGCAGCAGGCGGCGCCGCGCGCCGGCGTCGCCCAGGGGGCGGCGTGGGTCGTTCGAGCTGAAGTGCGCCGCGGGCGCCGCCTCGATCGCCACCAACTGCCCGTCCACCTCCAGAGCCAAGTCGACGCACAGCAGACCGTCCGCCGTGCGCACCCCCAGCGCGCACCCTGCGCCCGCCGCCTCCAGCGCCGCCGCGGCCTCTCCTAGC